TCGCCGCTGCAGCATCGCTCTTCTTGGACAAGGGACGTGCCCACGTGAAACGGCTCCATTCGTCCACCATGGTGAGGAAGTACAGCACTCCCCCAGTCCCCTCCGTCCTCATAGGACCCACCAGGTCCATGTGCACCACCTCCAATGGTGCCTTGGCTGATCCCTCCGCACGTGGAAACGGGAACCGCGCAAACTTGTTTTGCATGCACGCCTCGCAGCTGCCATAGTGAGCGCCATCTCCTTGCAGTTGCAGCCCATGCACGCACTTCTCCTTGTGCATCACCTCCAATGTGGAAACAGCCACGTGTGCGAGCCGCCGATGCCAAGTCTCCCAATCCGCTTGGCCCGAGGTAGCCGACGCCTTCACCGCCGCGCTTCCTCCAATCAGCTCCTCTCCTTGCACACCTTGCTGCTCCTCCTCAGTGACACTCTCCTTTATAGATGCCGCCACTGCCGCCTTGCCCGATTTCCGCCAAGGGAGGACCGGGATCTGCCACATGCGCTTGTGGACATCTCCCTTCCGCTGCAGGTCCCAAATCAGCCACTCATCGTTGTAGGCACGATAGCGCTCCGAGCCAATCGTCTCGGTGTTCACACCCGCATCTCCCAACCGGCCGGTAGAAATCAGGTTCGCGCACAAGTCCGGCACCCACAGCACGTTCTTCAGCCCCACGAGCTCTCCATCCGCTCCCATGAACTTGGCGCATCCCATGCCCATGACCTTGGCCTTGGCGCCCGTCGCGGATGTGACTGTAGAGATGGGTGCGGGCTGAATCTCATCGAGTAGGTCCGCACGAGGAGTCATGTGCCAGGAGCTTCCCGAGTCAATCACCCAATGGGTGAGAGGGTGTAGGAGAACCTTGGCAGCCGTACCGAGGTCGGTTGCACCTTCGTTCACGAAGAAGAAGAACCCGGCCTTCCGCTCCTCAGATTTGCCGCCTTTCTCCTCATCCTTCTCCTCTCCACTAGCTCCCATAACTCCCCCACTCCTCGTGCCACCACGCTGGTTGCTTGATGAAGGCGGGGTCCAATCCTTAGGTCGTTGGTAGCACTTCCTCCAACGATGTCCGCGCTTCTTGCAGTAGAAGCACACCTCCCCTTGACCCCCGCCGCCATCCTCCTTAGGGTTATCATTGTTCTTGCCCTTCCACTTCTTCTTGAAGCCGCTCTTTCCACCTCCAACTCCATAGCCAGCCCCCTCCTCCGAGCGCTCCACACTTCGCCGCTGCAAGTCCTCCTCTAGGATGCGCGCGCGAATGTAATCCACGCTCCACTGGGGCTGTTGAGAGTTGAGGTTGATTGCAAGGGCAGACCACGACTCCGGCAGCCGTATCACGATCTCCACGCATTGCACGAGCTCCGGGTACACCACACCGCCGCCTTGGAGCTTCGTGAAGATGTCGCGCATCTCGTCCAACACCGGTTGCATCGGCTCTCCATCAACGAACTCGATGCCGTGCAGCCACCGCGCGAGTAGTACGATGCCGGTAGCGTGTGTCGGTGAGTGCACATCCAGAAGCTTCCTCCAAGCCTTGGGGCCACACTCTGGATCACCCAAGAGGTCCTTGATGTGGTCAAGTTGTCGTCCTCCAACCGCTTGCACCATGAGCATGTACGCGTCGAACGATCGCTTCATCCACGCTCCTTTCAGCTCCGCGGCCTCCGGCATCTTCTCCTTCCCCTCCACCAGGTCCAATAGCTTGTATTGGGTGTACATCAGCCTCATGCGGAAACTCAAGTGCTCGTAGTCCTCCCCCATGAATTTCTCGATAGAGAACGCCTTCACGGGATCCACGGTTGTTGGAGATGTTGTAGAAGTCGAGGGTAGCGTAGGGTTGGCTGGTTGGTGAGTCCCCACTCCACCACCAGCAACTCCCCCTTGCTCTCCAGCCTCTCTAGCCATCTCGCCATTAGCACCTCTGGAGTCCGTTCCAGTCATATTGAGGCCTTATGAACGGTGGAAACTTGAGAAATCGCTTGGAGAGAATTCTGCAAGAAAATTCGATTCTACGAAAAACGCCGTCGCGGACTAGATACTTCGAATTAGAACGCGGTTCGACCACCAATCGAAAGGTCGCAAGCAGATCTACTAGAAAACGGTCTCACACGTCATCATTGGTTGAGAATTCGCGACGATTCGTCATCTCAAAGTTGACTACCCGCTCTGATACCACTTGTTGTTCAGGATCCGTCACTTCGAGAGCTTACGACGAACTCATTACTCAACTAAACGCAAATCCGCTCGGTAGGATTGTGCGCCTTAGTCTTAGCTACCATCTCCAATTTGAATCACTTCAAACGCTGGTCTGGAGAGTGAGAAGCATTCGAAAACGTTCAGCTGCTGCATGACTAGAATGGTGGAGGAAGTACAAACATTAGAGCATAGAAAGTTGGAGTTGAGGGCCTCCAAGAGAACCATGAGAGGGAAGGGGTTCTCCAAGAGCTAGGGAAGGATGGTAAGAACCTTCCTAGCAGCAAGGATGCAACCCTCATCATGAGGTCCTTGAGGTGTCACATGCAAAATCCAATCTAGTTGGATTTGCCTATGTGTTGCAACATTTGCAACCCATGCTAGAGAGTTCTAGCCACCCCAATCCAAAAGTCAAAGTTGCCTTCCTAACCACCCAACCAAAGATCCCTTTATAGTCATGTCCCAATAACCGCCCAAATTAGATATAACCCCAAAGAGGTAATAAGAAATCCAAGTCTTGGAAATCTTGTAACTTGGGCGATCTTGGTCGGAATAAGGCGATCTTGGTATCGTTGGAAAGCTCTGAATTTCTCCTGCATGATCAAGCATGTAGACTTGGAGAAAACACAGAGATGATAATATCCAACAGCCATGCACAATGACATATGCTCATGCAAATCATGCAAGCACAAATCGCACGAGCACTCGGCAGGACGTTAGGATGACATGCACTCAGAATGACGTGCATCCAACACTCAAGGCCAAGAGGGTAGAGGATCCGGAGGAGGGAGAGGTAGATGCCGTGTTGGCCGTGGCGGTCGCGGAAGCGGAGCTGCAAACATGAAGAGCAAAGATAACGAGAAGGACCCGAGCGACGAACGCTATCCGGGTCAATTCTCCTTCGTGTCGACTCATGTACCAGCTGGTCCAGAGAAGGATCCAGCAGCTGTGGGGAAGGTCACCCTACACCCACTGGACTATTGGGTGATCGATAGCGGCGCTACCTATAGCATGACACCTCGCGCGGACTTGCTCACCGAACTTGAACCGTCACAGATGAAGCATGTCACATCTGGTTTAGGGCAGCGAGCAGAGGTGAACGGCATGGGAAAGGCCATGTTCAAGGGTGCTGATGGGAAGATGGTGGGTTTTAAGAACGTGCTTTGGGTGCCCAGCCTTGAAGCCAGCCTGATTTCCGTGTGGCGATTGGGAAAGGCCGGCATGGACACGAACTCGAAGGGAGCCAAGACCTACACCGCAAGGATTGGCGACCGGATTCTTTGGGACCTTCATGAGGATAGGGATGTCTACAATGAGATGTGGCAGATCCCTGTGGTCCCAATGTCTAAGGAGAGGCAAGTGGCAGCAAGCGTCAGCACCAAGGGTGAAGCGGTTGGTAGCGGCGATTGCGCGGACGGTCGCGCTAAGAAGAATGAGTCCAAGAAGTGTAATCTTGGAGGGACCAGCGAGCTCGGTGAACCTAAGAAGAGTGGTTCACCAGCCAAGGAGCAGCAAAAGGGTGAGGAGAACCCCGAGGCAGCAGCGGAGGATGACTATGGAGAGAGCATGTGGGGCGCTATTGCGAGCGCGGCATTCTCCAACCCGACTTCGGCTACGGGGGAGTGTGATTGGCTCACCTTGCATCGGCGAATGGGGCATGTGGCCCTACCTATCTTGCAGCAGCTAGTGAAGGGAGAGAAGGTTGCTGGCATACGTGTGAAGGGGGAGCCCGATGAGGTACTTGGCTGCCCGACGTGCATGCAAGCCAAGTTCACCCGTTTCCCGTTCTCTAGTTCGGAGGCAACGGCTAAGGCACCACTTGATGAGGTGGTGATGGACGTGGTGGGCCCCCTGAAGCTTGGAGCTGCTGGAGCTGAGTACTTCCTCACCATCGTGTTGGTGCAACCCTACGGTTTGCACTCGGCTTGTTGTCCGTGTGCGTGTGCGTGCATGCGTGTGTGCCTAGAGTGGTATGAGTGCATGAAATAAATATATATTTCATGCTTATAATGGTGTGTGAATGATGGGTCATGATGTCGAGTGTGTGTGTCAAGTCTATAGCGAGTTATCGCTAGTCGCGTATAACGCGGTCATTTTGTGTGTCCCGCGCGGTTTCTATTTTGTCGTGCGCGGTTTCTATTTTGTCGCTTGTCGAACGTTCGGCATGTCGCAGGTGTGTGCAGCAGACCCATCAAGAACTCAAGGATGAGTTTGTGATGAAGAACCCGAGCCTTGGTTGCAAGCTTCAAGCGATTTTTTTAAGCTCGCCAAGGGTACACCTCAAGATATTGAAGATAGTTACATTACAATGTGTAGTGTAACATTCTCTTGGTGTAGACACTTGTGAAGGGTAGTTTCGAGACCCTTCCTGGTTGGGGACAGTGTGGCACTGTTCCCCATCACTGTACCTTGGCTCTTGGGGTTTGTAGGAGCTGGGAGTCATTCCCAACTTGTAACTCTTCCTAGTTGTTCGTAATTGTGTCTCCTAAGACTATGTTGCTGCCATAGTGCCGTTCGTTCAAACTAACGCTGTGTCGTCAATTCTCAATGAAATCGTGCTACGAATTGAGGAAGATGAATCCGTGGAAGACGGGGTGCAGAAATTCTTCGACTTGTTGACACGGCTTGAAGAAGCTGATTTGAACTACAGTGAGCTCCAAAAGAAGACCAAGTTGCTGGCCCTACTCCCCGAGTCGTAGTCGTCGCTCATCATCAACTTGAACCGTGATCTGCCCCGTCTCTCTCGTTGACGACGTGAAGCGTGCAATCCTTCAAGAGGACTTCCGCCGCCGTGAGTTGGCGAGTGCGGATGGCGCTGGGGCAGCAAGCGTCGGCCGTGGATATGGCCGAGGAAGAGGCAGAGGACGAGGGGGAGGAAGGTTTGGTGGCAGCAACTTCGGCGGAGGCCGCGGGAGTGGCGGATACGGCAGCGACGACAAGAGCTACGGGCGCGGTCGCGGCCGATTCGACGGCGAGTGTCACTATTGCCACAAGAGCGGACACATGTGGCACGATAGGTACAAACTCCCTGAAGGATGGACCCCTGCTCAAGGCCAAGAGGGTAGAGGAGCAGGAGGAGGGAGAGGAAGAGGCCGTGGAGGCCGTGGCGGTCGCGGAGGCGGTGCTGCAAACATGAAGAACGAATATAACGACAAGTACTCGAAGGACGATCGGTACCCGGTATATTCTACTTCGTGTCGACGCAAGTACCGGCTGGTCCAGAGAAGGATGAAGGCTTTGAGGAGCCAGCAGCTGTGGGAAAGGTGACCCTATACCCCTGGACTATTGGGTGATCGATAGTGGCGCTACCTATAGCATGACACCTCGCCCCGACTTGCTCACCGAACTTGAGCCGTCACCGGTGAAGCATGTCACATCGGCTTTGGGGCAGCGAGCAGAGGTGAAAGGCATGGGCAAGGCCATGTTCAAGGGTGCTGATGGGAAGATGGTGGGCCTCAAGAACGTGTGTTTTGGGTGCCCAGCCTTGCAGCCAACCTGATTTCCGTGCGGCGATTGGCAAAGTGCGGCATGGACACGAACTCGAAGGGAGCCAAGACCTACACCGCGAGGATTGGTGACCGGATTCTTTGGGACCTTCACGAG